CGTGGGGGCTAACTAAATGTCATTCTTTATTGATCACCCTGTATATCAGATCATCTTCGTTTCGATCCGGTTCATCAAGGGCCAGCACAGCAGTTGTCAGTTGCGATGCCGTGGTAAATGCCGCGTGCCGCCACTACCCGCCTTTGAACTCGCCGCCGCAGCCGTCGTTAGTTCCACTATGTCGGTCTTGGCGCCACATCAACATGGCTGCCGGCTGGGGAGCCGAGCGGGGCGGGCGTATTACCTAATCCCTACAGCGGCGTCTCCACTGCGGGGTGGCGTCCCCTGAACCGGTTATTACCGGTAAGGTGTCAGTGAGGGGGAGGGACGGGGGGAAGGGAGTAGAGTACCGGTCTGTCAGGGAGCGGCGCCGAGGGGTCAACATTTAAATATAATGTCTGTAACCTTCGTCGGCAACTTTAATTTTCAAATTTCATTTAGTTATCTATTATTTGCCCATGTGCTCAGCATGCATGTTTGCGTGCTTATGCTTTTGGGTTAGTGAGATAATCATGCAGCAGGGGGATCGTGTAGACGTTTGGCGGCGTCGTACGTCATAGGCTTGTAATGTGCCTGAGTACTGAGCAGAGCGCATGATATAAGTCTGGATTTCCAGAGAGGCTGGGCTGGAGCCAAAAACATTATGGGAAAGCTGAGCTTGGATGTTTATGTTTGCAAAATACTCTCGCAGTGGCGCGGGAACTAGGTATTTTCTGTCTGGGGGGGGGGGGGGGGGTCATCATAACGTATAGCAGTGTCTCGTCATACCATAGATCAACCTTCAGCACACCAAAATTTAGTTTTGTCATGGGTTTTAGGCCACTTATTTCTTTCCCATATCGTCGATAAGAAACGAGAACATTTGCAAAAATATATTATTTCATCTCAGCCGAGTCAAGGAATTACCTATGTAATTTTATATAATCTAATTGCAACGGTTAAATTATGTAAAATACACATCGGACGAGCAGCGCCGTCAAAACTGTCTGAAAAGACGCTTACTGAATCTTGCAATAACAGTTCTCTGTCCATGCTGACGGTCACTCGACCCGGACAAACACTTGTACAATTCTAACTGCTGTCAGGAGCGGAAGACCCACTCTAGCTCACGACTGTCCCATGCCGACCTCTGAAGGCTCCACGCTGGTCTCTGACAGCCATGACAACCCTACCCTGACCGAAAATCAGGGAGATTACGCCCCTTGCTTTGTTTCCCTATGCCTGGTTTCCCTTATTCTCAAAAGATGCAACTATGCATCTGTGCGCTGTAGCAACAAGATACATATTTACCCTAATAATTTATATGGTCTGTGAAGTCGGATGCTTGCAGATTTAGACGCCTCAAGAGGGGGGGGGGACTGAATACACTGCAAGCTCTGGCCCCGCGGCCGCCGGCCAAAAAGTTGGAGGTTTCAGCCCCTGCTAGCCCCCCTCCCCGCCCTCCCCCCGTTCCTGCGCCTGTATATTCTTGATTCAATACATGCAATTCATTTAAGCTTTATTCAGCAAATAAAAGCTGATTTTTATTTGTGTGCCTACAATCTACCTAAAAGTTATTTCAGCAACATTTACGAAATTGACACCATTGGCCATTGTGGCCGAAGCGTGACTCGGCTGTGACCTGAGAGGGAACTGCAGCATTAAACACCTCGCACTACTTCCCTCTATTTAAAATCAAAGGACGCTCGCCTCAAGTGGAACCGCGGACCGGGACGGAGCGGCTGCCGAAAATCTATACAAGGGCCGGATTAGCCATCTCCCGATGGACAGGTAGTGATGGATGGGGAGCCGGGAGCCGAGCAGGAGCCCTGCCTCCCACTGACAGGGGTCTAGGCGGGCGTCGGATGGCGGCACAGCCACCCGCTGGGCAAAGGGGAGGCATTAGCGACTGAACCACAGCCAGAGCGTTCCTCTGCACGTATTCCCAGTGTGTCAAAATATTTCGGATGGAGGCCGTTACCGTTCTCAAACTGATCTCGGACTTGGAACATCTGCCATTAGCTACTACAAAAATGACAATGTTCGTGCTAAGTTTGTGAGTGGGGTTCAATATATCTGCGAAATTTCTTGGAAGATGCTTTTATTCTAAAACACAGATACCACCTTCCTTACAGAATTATGAATAACTAAAATTCTCGCTGCTGAACTGTCTTAGTCTGAGGCTCATGTCGTGGCCTCTCGAATAGACGTTTGCTACTGAGACTGCGTTACTGCAACTGACCAGTCAAGTCGTTTAAAACAAAATGCTAAATAGTTAAGTGAGCATTGGTGACATGCCCAAAAGATGCTTAGTAGGCATATTGCATGTATAAGGGTGATTGTATGCAGTTCCAATGATGCAAAAGCTGGTGGCCATTCCAATCTTTACGTTCGTCTGACTCTGTTAGGTATTACCTTAGACTTTCCCGCTGATTGTATGCCAAATGAAATAAAATATGTTTGTAAAAGAAAGCAAAAATATGTGAAGAACGAGTGTTGTTCTGAGATCGGTCTTCACTCGTTGTATTGGGTTAGCGTCGTGGTTATTAACCAAAGGCTGACGAAATCGTGTATTGTGGCTATAAATCAGATTACATTTGATATACTTTATAGTACATACATTGCTACCTACCGATAATACTCACACCGTGGGACAATCAAGTTCGGCATGTTCTACATGGTAAGTGACAGCTTCAAGTTGCTCTTTCCAACAAATTGTACCTAACAATGTAACGAAAAAGGTACACAAATGCTGAACAGCAAATGTCGACTGTCACATACAGCGGTACCTACATGTTTCACAAATGCATACACGTCACGCACGAATACAGATCGATCTAATACGCCTACATCAGTTACACGCCTCGCTTAGAGCAGTGAACAACTGTACCTACATAAATGTTCAATCAATACGAAGCGGATACAGCAATCGTCCAGCACTGTCTCATATGCTGGGTGGCAGTGACAAAACGATCACCGCTTAGGGGTATATGGGGAGTAACAATTATTGCAGTGAACAATTGCGTCATCAACGGGACAAGCGAATGAGTCTCTGTACCATCTGATTTGATCAAGGTTTATATAGTAAATGAGGTTGTTTGAAAATGCAGCTTATAAATGATCATTGGACATGTATTTGACAATAGACATACTAAACAGTATCACGTTATGAACATCGACTATGCAGTATTCTATTCACTGATAATATCTAGTGTCGCATGTATAGGTGTATGCCTAGCATTGGCAACAGGCTTCTTAACTTCGACTTGATAGCAAAAGCATCACTACATTCTGGCGATTTTGTTCAGTTCTCCAGCTATTACATAGCAACGTCACATAACAGCATGCGGGCTCCTAGCTGGAAGTTGGCATAAGGTCTATCAGCAAGTAGCAAGTATGCAAGCAGTAGGTGAGATTAAGCGGGGCCATAAAGTCACGCGTGCAAAGCGAGCCCGCTCTGTGAATCGCGTCGTTGGTCAAGGGATGCGTGCGCTAGCTGTGTGCGTTTTGTGTGCTGCTGCCTGTTGTGCATGTATGCGTGTCTAAGCTGTGCACTGTGCAATGTGCAGTGCATAAGCATACAAATGCACGCGCATCTCTCTGTGTGTAATCATGGCAACAAGACACAGCACAATGTCCCAGTGACCGGTGGGTCAAAAATATACGAATTCACCCTTTGCAAGGCGATGAGTCACCGTACAAAACCCTGAACCGTGTATCAGTGAAGGCCCACGATCACATTCAGTGAATATGTTGATGCCACACCGCAGTTGGTTCTACTCGTGGCACGGAACTCGGAAGCCACTATAACTTGCGTCATCGCCATGACTTCAACCAGGGCGCGCTCCTCTGCGGGGGACACAATCACAGGAACAGCGAGTACCATTGCCTAATCGATTAGATCAGTGATGTAACAATTAAAAACGCAGCTAGCACGATAGCTGTCCTTGAAGTTGCACCATTGCACCGGTGTTTGATCAACTGACTGGCATTGCACTGCACCTTGTCTTGACTGTATCAAATTGCTACCGATTGAGTCATACCAAACCGGAAAATCCACAAGATATAAGCAGTAAATAACGAGCATCAACATAGCTTATCAGTCCTCACGCACCCACACAGGGACTTGATCAGCTGACAAAGTCAACGCCATGTATGTGTGCACCTTAATGTACGTCTCGCACCAAATGTTAAAAAAGACAGAGTATATGACCATGAGCACTGAATTCATGTAAGATAGATATCTGATTGTGAAGTTACACACAAACAATCGGGTATACGATGTGCTCCATGATTTGCCCTGAGTGAGAAAATATGCTTCTTTGAGGAGATTATCACTGCGTTGGCGAGTGATTAGCCAAGTTACTCCTATAGCAACTCAACAGTCATGGGGAGAATATTTAAGTAGAGTGGGTAAAGGGAACGTCTAAACTCTAAAGAATGATTTGCTTTCATTTAGGAGTGATTTCAAGATAATATTTCGCCAAATCCAATTCATATTTTTGGACAATATTTCCCAACGTGAACACTGAACGGGACTTGGGGTCAATGAGTTATTTGTGTGGTATTATTCAATTTATACCTAACGTATTCACATCCAAAATATAACAATCGCTTCTAACAAGTAAGCATTTGAGCGAAATGGCTAAATATTGGTTATTCACCTCACCGACTAGATTAGGTACACATATTTCGACGTTTAATTCTTTTTATAGAACGACTAGCAGATCGTTCAAACAGTTTTGATAACAACAATACAGCAATGTCAATAAATTCCAGGACGACAATCGGCGTCACAATTAGCAGCGCGATCTAAACTCGACTGGTCAGCTCTGTGGCGTTCGAGGGAAACCGCTCCACCTTCTGTCCGTCTTCAAAGCGTCGGAGGACATCACACCTCGACTGCTGGTTGACAAATCACTCATCCTCGTCGGCTATTGGCTAGCTAGTGTCGTCACCACTCCTCCTTAGCCATTGACTAACTGATGACGTCACTCCTCGGCTATTACCTATTGACGTCATCACTCCTCCTCCTCGGCTATTGGCTGATTGGCCACATCCTCGTGGTCGTGCTGTTCCGACACGGCGTCCCGCTGGTCCGCTGTGACCTCCGGCTGTTCCCCGGTCTCGGCCTCCTGCCGCACGCCGTATTTTTGGTCCAGTGACGTCACAGAGACGCCCACCACCAGCAGGCCGGCCACCACCATACACGAGCCGATACCGTAGAACTGGGTGCCGTAATCGCCGGTACGGTCCACCAGCACGCCTGGGGGCGACAGACCGCCGTTTGACAAAAATGACGGGGCTACGAGTTCCGTTGCTAACAAGCATATAGGCACAACAGGTATATGCAGGCACAAATTTTAGCAAAAATCAAGCCGAAGAATATGATTATTACAAAACTTAATTTGAATTGAACAAAACTCATTTTGAATGAAATTAACATTGCAGCAAAAAGTTTTGAATGCCGTGCCAGGAAGATCGCCGTTCTTTCAATCGTATCAGTTTTCAGTCGTTTTTTTACCGATCTTGCCGAGCTGCCATGACTCCTCACCGAAGAGCGGTGGCATTGCCAGTATTATGTGCATTGCGCACCTGTAGACTCTGACTCACCGAAGAGCGGCGGCATGGCCAGCGTGGAGAGGCCGTGGAACATGCGCACCAGGCCGTACGAAGAGGCGATCTTGTCAATGCCGTGGTGGTCGGCCAGCACGGGCGCCAGGTTGACGAACCAAGTGCCGATGCCCACCGAATAGACGACAAACAGCGCCAGGATGGCGCCGTAGCTGGACACCAGCGGCAGCAGCAGCACCGACACACCGCCCAGCAGCTGACTGAGGTCACAGCGGGTCACAGCGGGTCACAGCGGGTCACAGTGGGTCACAGTGGGTCACAGTGGGTCAGTAACAGCACCGACACACCGCCCAGCAGCTGACTGCGGGGTCACAGCGGGTCACAGCGGGTCACAGCGGGTCACAGCGGGTCACAGCGGGTCACAGTGGGTCAGTAACAGCACCGACACACCGCCCAGCAGCTGACTGAGGTCACGGCGGGTCACAGTGGGACAGTATCAGTACTGGAACACCGCCCAGCAGCTGGCTGAGGTCACGGCGGGTCACAGCGGGTCACAGCGGGTCACAGTGGGACAGTAGGTATCAGTACTGGAACACCGCCCAGCAGCTGACTGGGGTCACAACGGGTCAGGTCAGCACCGACACACCGCCCAAATTGAGGTCACAGAGGGTCAGGTCAGGTCAGGTCATCACTATCAGCACTGACACGCCGTCCAGGCGTCCAGTATGTAATTGACTGAGGTCACAACGGGTCAGCGCAGGCCAGGTCAGGTCAGGTCAGCACCGACACACCGCCCACCAGCTGAGGTCGCAGCGGGTCGTGGTCGGTCACGCCGCACCGCCAAAAAGCTATGTCACATTGGATCAGGTCAGGTGACGTCATTCATGTGACAGCATGGAAAGCAGCATTGAAAGAGCAATGTGTTAATAACAAGAAATGACTGTAGGCATAACGAACAAAGGTAGAGTGTGAATGAAACCCGGTTACCGCAGCCATCCGTAACGTTACGACATCGGAAATGGACAAATACGCGGAATGTGGCGCACATAGTGCCTGATGTCGATATATTTGGGTCATACTTTCACTGGGATGCTTTTTGTACCAGGTTAATGGATTTGTACCATCAGCCTAAGCCCTGAACATGGATAGATCTAACTACCCCCCACAAAAACAATACGATGTCTCCTGTTTTCAAACAAAGAGCTCAACCGAACCTCAACCAGCATTATGCAACTGTTGGACGTCAGCGCATTGTAAATGTTTCTGTAAGCTGAGCGATTATTACTCAATACATCTTTCAAGGCTGCATGTGTAGGCAGGCACTGTATAGTGTATGCGGTGGTGATATGTAGAGCCCTGTAGATATAAACTGTCATAGTCTTATTTATGTCTACTCTATACTTTATGCATATATAATAATATATATATATGTAATACAGTAATCCAATAATGGGCATCCCCACGCATTTAGACTCCTTCACAGTTCCTTGTTTTCTTAGCAAATGTTTATCTCGCGTATATGACACATCATTTCACGCAGGACTAAAAACTGGAAATGGGGCACTTACTTCATTGTTCGCAGACTCATAAGTCCGTGTCATTTCCGTTGAATAATTTTCTGGATCGACGGAACAGAGGCGTCACTGTAAGCCACAAACAATAGGGGGTGGGGAGGGAGGGGTAGCGAGGACTAGCCCTACTTCCCGGGAGTCGGTCGGCATTCCACCGCATGGCGACCCGGGGAGCCCTGCCGTGTCACCTCTGATGTGGGTCCCTGCATGCGGAGCAGACTCGGCGGGGGCGGGGGGGGGGGGGGATTTGGAATGTACAGCGGCATCAGACGCCACAGAACCGCGGTAAACTGTAGTTATGCAACATGAGAGTGTGTATATGTTACAGAGGGGCTGCGAAAAATCCGTGGTTTCTGGGAGTCACTGAGTAAGGTTATAACAAACATAACACCGTCATCGTGGTTTGTCCTGACGGCCGGATGCTGACGGAACGCCGGCAAAAAGCCGAGGGGAGGAGGGGAGCTGATTGAAGCGTTCGTTTTGGTGATTGAACACTGGGTTTGTTCTGGACATATCGGGAATTGGAATCAATAGTTTATACAATATTTACTTGTAACTCTTCACAAGCTGCCTATGCATAATTTATTTCCTTTCTATTTAAAAGGGCGATCATTTCCTAAAGGCAATTTACTCAATTCCAATGGCATTAATTTTACCTCGGGACTCGGGTTCTTGATACCATGATAGCAAATGTACTTGTGTTGTGAGGTATGTACCCCTTTATGACGTATTTATCCTTTAGATGAGAGTCTTTGCAACGAGCTTAATATTATCAGTGGAAAAAGACACTTCACCTGAATTGTTAATCGGTAAGATTCATAGCGATCAGACCTAGCGCGCACTTCTATCCAATCGCGCATGTTTCAACGTCATCGGCACGATAAGGTACCGGTGAAAAGGACATGAAGAAACTCCCCAAGCTCGGACGGAGCTGTCACAGGCGGATGGCCGTGACTCCCCGCAGTGTTACTCAATGGGCGATGCTTCAAGTCAACAAACTCACCCTCGCCCTGGAAAGACCGTGGCCGGGGAACCCACAGAACGACTCCGAATGACACTGTGTTTATGTTTTTGTGGGGTTGGGGGAGAAGGACGGTCATTGCTAGATCCGTATGGTCCTACGTCGTTCACTGCCCAACCTGGAATTTTCCTCGAGGATTCCGCGACACGTAATACATCTTGTCTTTCCCCTGTCGCCGAGATCTACACCAGCTGCCTGTCTGGCACAACACAGAGGCTAGCAGTGACCGATGATGTCATCACCACGACTGCCACGCATTTCATCGGATCAATTCCGCCTCCTCCTCCCTTTTCCGGTGTGTCAAGTGTTCGTCCAATATGACGTCAGAGAGAGATGCCGGCAGTGAAGTGCGCCGCCCTGCTTCCTCCCCTCCCGTGCAGCGTTCGATACATTGAACTGGAGGTGGAGTGGGGTAGGGTGGGGCTGCTGGGGGGGGGGGGGGGGGCGAGCACCGATCCAATCGGGTGACCATGGCACCGTGGGAAGGCTTTATGGCTGGAGACAGCCTTGGCGGCTAGGGCGGCAGTGAATGCCTGTCTGACAGACTACGGCATGGAGCGGAACATCGCGGTCAGAAAGGCAGTAAGGCTTAGCCCAGCTTAGCCCTCGCCCGTATTGGTGCTTTTCCAGCCGCGAACGTATAAAGGTGGGGGGGGGGGGCGGTCTGTTAGACCCCCCCTTTGCCGTTTCGCCCCTTATCGAGCTAGAGCTTCGCGGAAAAAGCGAGCGTGTTGCCCGTGACGAGATGAAGCTGATGATACCCAATTTTAGGGTCCTAGGTCATTGGTTGACCCTCCAGGTCAGGTCAATGACCCAAAATAGAGAAAACGGGACCTGTTAAAACGTCGTAAAGTGTGGCTGCTATAGGGTTTTTCGGGGCGCTGATCACGAATATTATGTTAGTTTTAACCACAGATGATAAGTTCAAGCATTTAGGCTAGGTCGGGTCGGATCAGGGCAGGTCAACCAGGGGTCCTGCCGGGTATTCGTAGTAGGCGTCAACCGTCTCTGACAGCTTCGTAACATGCTACAAAGATACCAAAACTACTTCGTAAATGTTCATATGGTTGCTAAATTCGAATTCAGCTCCAAAAACTAGCCTAGAAACTTGCAAAACTGGAAAAAAGAACCGAGGTCATCAAAGGTCAATGACCTAACATGACCTTCAGGTGACCTTGACACCCACCTTAATGCATGGGGGCAACAGCATATCACATGTTTACTTTGAACGCTTGAAACCACGAAAAGACTGCAAACGCTCAGCTAATGCGAGCCGACATACGCCGAATCGCGATTCCGGCCAAGCATGGTATCGAAAAGTAGGTCACAGGTCAAAGGTCATTTGGGTCAGGGTCATGAAATTTTTAGGGTAGGTGTAAAATTGATTAACGCGAGGGTAAGGAAAGTTTCGTTGCGATCGGCAGCTTTTTACGCGAGTTATTTGCGAAAAACCGGGGTGGGGGTCCGTTCGACCCCCCTATGCGGGCGAGGGTTGGACGAAGCCTTCAATCGGGAAACTGATTGGTGATTGTCTGGCAGGGAGCTGGCAAGCAGAAAATGAAGGGCTGGACCCGCTATTACATACTGCAAGGAGTAGGGACAGAAATGGAAGATACAGAATGCAGTATGACTTGCAATGAGTCATATGGCCAGAAAAGGCGATATGGTTACTTCGCGACCGTGGAGCTGAATCGGTAGATGAATATATATAGAACTCATTGCATCACACAGCATAGATACACAGCCCAAAAGGTCAACCTTTTATTTCAGAAGCGTTGCTCTTGTGATGCATGAGCCCGTCGAACTATTTCGGGCGGCCGCATAGTTTGTTTGATCGTTACGTAATGAGCTACGAAGCTTTGGCTGGGCTGCTGTCGGTGTTTTGGGGCTCTAACTTGGCACATGAGGCCGACTCAGTCAGCATGATAAAAAAGTTGACACAAAAAGAGAAAGAGGAGAAAAAGGGACAGACAGCGAGAGAAGAAAATGGGGAGCGAGAGAAAGAAAGGGAGAGAGAGAGAGAGAGAGAGAGAGAGAGAGAGAGAGAGAGAGAGAGAGGGGGGGGGGGGTGAGTCAACTCACTAGCTTAGACCATTTTTGTAGAAAGCAGAAAAACTAGCTGGAGAAAGGGTCAATCGGATCTTTCCACCAGTCGATTATAACACCAAACCAAGGACAAGCTGGAAGACGTTGTGTCGCTGACTCACCTGGCGGCGAATGCGTGTTGCCGGCGGAACAGGCCCTGGTCGAACAGCCAGCCGAAGCAGAGCCGACTGACGAGGTCCACGGCCGAGACCAGGCTGAGGATCTCTGCCGTCTGGGCCCGACTCAGACCCCGGGACACACCAAACACGGGCAGCTGCATCAGTGCGTACGGCGCCCCGGCTGCCATGAAGAACACGGACGCGGCCACGGCCAGGAACAGGGCGTTGTGCAGCAGGTCCAGGTCCAGGTAGCGCCGCACGCGACGGTACAGGTGCGGCGCGCACGACGTCTCCGCCTCGCGCAGTCGGCGCAAGTCGTCGTTGAACTGTGACGTGGCGTCCGTGGTGACGTCCGTGGTGGAGAGGAGCAGGCTGCTGGTGCGCAGCCGCGCCGGCACCTGCACCAGCAGTGGTGTCGGGTGGCCGTCCGGACCGGGCCGCACCACCCGCACCAGGTGAGTGGGGGCCTCGGCCGGCCGCGGCACCAGGCTGTCGCGCCGCTGGTCGCTCGCCGGGGCGCTGGTGAAGCTGAGACGCTCAGCCAGGCTGGCCAGACTCAGCGGCCGCTTGGTCAGGTGGCCGTCGTGGGAGTCACACCGCGACGCCAGACTGGCGTGGCACTGCTGCAAGAAGCGCTCTTCGCTGGGCGCCGGTCGTGAGGCCAGACTCGAGTGGCTGAGCCGCTTCACAAAGCACTCGTCCGTGATGTCCAGTCGCGACGACAGGCTCACCTGACTGGGCGAGTGTTTCTCGCGGTACTCCGCAGTCTCCAGCCCCGTGTCCAGACTCGTGTAGCTGGGAATCCGCCGCGGCGCCACGGCAGCCTCATCAACACCGTCTCGCTGCCGCCGCTGCCGCTGTCGGCGCCGGCGCAGCACGGTCTCGTGGACGGCGATGGGCCGGGCGAGCGCGGCGCCGGCCACCACGTGCAGACAGAGTGCTCCGATCACGAGCAGGGTGCCGCGCAGGCCGAACTCTGCCAGCAGCAGCTGGTAGAGCGGCGGCAGCGCGAACCCGCCGGCCGCGTTCCCGGCCAGCACCAGGCCGTTCACCATGGAGCGGCGCGTCGGGAAGTAGCGGGTCGTGATCAGGATGCCCGGGGTGGTGGCGCAGCCGGTACCGATCCCTGCGGCGGTACGCACACAGGCCGTGTTAGGGAAGGTAACACATCCAGTTCATGTGCTAAAGCTAGTGCCACAGGCGGCTGAACGTCAATGTTCAGACAGAGGATGATCGAAATAACATTGGTGTGTACGTATTATTAGGTAGCTTTCCGACTTCTATAGCTATAAATGACGATATCGCATCCTCTTGCAGCTCTATGATATGCATGGTGCACTTCAGGGAAAGATAAACAAAAATGGTTCAAAGGTGTGACGAATTCGTACATAGACTTCCAGGTCCTCGATAAATCATAGCCTGTGGCGTACGGGAGCTAGCACTGTGCCTCAGGCTACGGCCAGCCATCGACTGGCCGGGAACCGTGGAAGCGTCAGCGATCGATGTTACCTATTGTTACCTCCGTGAACACTGAACATTGATTGACACTCAGAACTCGACCTTGGCAACATCGACAGCCAGAAGACCACACCCAAGCCGATAGTTGTTGCGTGTGGACTTCTATTGGACATTGGGTAAAAACTTCGTTAACGTAACGAGTCAGATTGGAAAATATCTTCCAGATTGACAGCGCATCCAACGCTTCAGAACGCCGACCATCAATCATACTTTTTCATTACGTAATGGTTACTAAAATGTTATTGCGTCCCGCTGTCACCACCTTCCGACTGTCTTGCCATCGCCCTCCCCGCACCTCCCCTGCCGTACCTCCGAGCACGCCGACCGTCAGGCAGAGGTGGGTGATGTTGGTAGACAAGGAGCCCAGCGCGAAGCCCAGGAAGCAGAAGATGCCGCCGGCAGTGACCACCTTCCTGCAGGTGAAGCGCTCACACAGCGCTCCCACCACCGGCGCTGAAATGGGGTGGACACTGTCAGTGTGAGACAAGAGGAATGGACCACGGAGGAGAGGAGTCTGTCATTGAAAACCTCATTACCCCATGAGCTGACTAGGCGCTGTCAGGCTAGTGTCAGCGCAGCCAAGCAAAGCGTGGTGGATCCTCTTCGAAAAGCTGGAACAACAAATGGACCCTGCTTTCAAATCAGTTTGCTCTTTACAAATGGACGTTTAAAAATGCCGAGAAATGCCAGGGGTGAACTACTTATTTTCAAGTGGGATGCGAGTTACGCATGCCCTAGATAGCCATGCTTTCGTCTTTCGCTTGCCTCATCGATTTTGTTGGGACTGTTCACTGTTCAGTGCTCAACGGCAAAGATTTGTTGACAATGCTATTGCTCATGACAACAGTGCCGCGCAGTGACTCATTCAAAGGCCAGGTCACTTCCCCACAGATTCCGATTGCCTACGGCTATTGCACACTGCCGCATCGCACCGTGGACTTGAGCGCAACATACATTTAAAAACATGAAACTTTGAATGGACAAGAACTTCGAAAAACTAGTTACTTCGGACAATTTATATCCGATGAACATTTAACAGCATGTGCCGTGGAAGGAACTACATAGAACGTTTAAAAAGCTTAACTTTCAGCGGACTTAAACACATGGCACAACGTTAAACTTCCAGTGAATGCTTTGATGCCTCGAAAGATAGGAGACGTAAATACCTGTCATCCCTTCAGGGTGACATCGTACAAATAATTTTTAAATGACACAAACAAAATGATTTGACTTTAGATGATTTTTTTTTTAATATTTCCGCATAAAGAAGTACAAAACTTAATCTTTGGTATTTTGCCAACATCTTCTGAGCTTCTAGAACGATTTCAATGATAATAAGCACACCAAGAAGCTCCTTCCTAACGCGCTAATCAAGCTGTTCCGTGAATTTTCCGAAAGAGTCGTCGCGATTTCCCCAATCGTCGTCTTCCAAGTTCTTGGAAGTCATGACCAAATTCTAAGTCAAACGATTGGCTTTCGCCTTCAGTCATCTTACTTAGGGTGCCTTATCGAATAGCAATGAGTCGTTCAGCTCCAAGCTACTCTGACTCACAGATGAGCAGGCCGATGGTGAGGAGCAGGCTGGGCACTACGGCCGCCTCGGCCGCACTGACTCCAAACGTCTCGATCACCATCAGGTTCAGCAGGCCGTACGACTTGACCGTGCCGGCGATGCAGAAGTTGGCCAGGAAGGCTCCGAACGCCACCACCCAGCCGTAACCTCCGTCGATGACCACCTCGTCCCCCGGCTGTTCGGCGGGGGCGGGGGCGGGGGCGGCGGCGGCGGCGGCATGACGACCGATCAGCTCGCTGAGGGAGCCGGAGCGCGGCGGCCGGCCGTCGCCCACCGATCGTCGCCGGCTCACCTGGCGGCGAATCTGGCGCAGCTGCAGCCGCAGGCGCGGGTTGTGCAGACTGCCGATGGTGGACTGTTCGTCGCCCGAGTCATAGCCAGGCGGCGGCGAGTGGTCGGAGCCAGTCTCCGCCGGGTCGGAGGTCTCTTCCGGCGGACTGAGTGCCTCCTTCACGGCCATGGCTGCGGTTAGATGGGTGGTTCTCACCCTGTCACCAGGCCAGCTCACCTTGCGGCCAGACGTCTTTGACACCGGGCGGATGGTGACGAGGATGGCACGGGAACAAAGAGCTGGCAGCGGGCGACTCGCGGCACACCAACGACCCCCTCTGACATTCCGGCTGGGGCTCTAACTCGCGTCTCGACACTCGCACGGCGGCACGGCACGGAGACGGCGTCACGGCCTCACGGTGTGGGTCCGGTTCGACAGCTGGCCCTGTCTGACCCCCGCTGTACCCACCAGCTGACTCGGGGGGTGCTTCGTCCGGCACCGACCTGTCGCAGCCCGGAGCGGCGCGCGCCGAAATCGATGGCACACGATTCCTGCGGCGCGTGCGTGCTGCCTCGGCTTGTCGCCCGTCCAGAGCAAGGTCGGCAGGTCAGGAGCCGAGCCGGCGGTGCCGCGTCGGTTTCGACGGGTGATGTAACCCGCCGACGGGGTGACGTCATACCGGAGGCCGTCGGCGACGTCGTCGGCTGCCGGCCGGCGCGGAAGGAGCCCGCTCATGAGCCGCTTCAAACTTTTCCATTCGCTTATCCTTGTGTCGTATGGATTGTGTGTATTGCATCAGCAAAGAACACAGACGAAGAAGAAGTTTTCTGCGCCGGGGACTTCGGGGGGGGGGGGGGGGAGGGAGCATGCCATGACGAAGGGTGGATGTGACGAGGTTTTCATACAACGCTAATAGACGTTATGTCAAAAATGGATAAACGTTTAACTAATTGCTCCCTTCTTCCTCTCCGTATTGGCCCCGTGGCTGCCAGTGCCACAGCCAAGCCTCATCACGTGGGTTCAATATTTATCTTTGTTGTCAAATGTGTCTCTATAGGAAAGCCATTTAATGCTTTTAGTGTTGGCTTTCATCATCACATGAGCCCGGATCTATATAACAATAAAAGCGCTGATTGAAGTCCAAAAACAACGAACGAAATAGCTAACCATCAGCGTCAGTTCACTCAGCTCGTTTGTCTCAAAAGCTTACAGCTCCAGTTCCGGAGGCCAGATCATGTAACAGACCCGGTCATTGCAGCGGTGGGATTATAGACCCGTTACGGCGCCCGCTAATTACCCTGGTGAAAATGGCTCGTGGGCACTAGTGGGTGTTCGCATTGCATACAGATTGTGTCGGTATTGCTGAGACTATGCCATGTTATGGACTTTTTTTTACAACACAACCTGCATGCTGCATCCGAAAGCTTTTCTTAAACACCATGCCGCCATTTGGATAGTACATACATTATCTGTGTTGTTTGAATGTTGTGCGGCCACTGCTCTGTAAGTGGAATCTGGAGCACAGTTGGCCCAAGAGAGCTGATTGCTGGCTTATGATCATGGTCAGGAATGTTGGTCAAACCAGCTGGAAAGTACCCACCACTGCAGCCTGAATCACGAACACGGAGGACCGATGTAATGCGAGCCATGACTTGCAAACATCACGGTGCACTGAAAACAAATCTACTCGTATATGGAGAGTAAAGGTCATTTTACCAGCCGCTAATGAGTTTCAACCGCTGGTTTACTCGTGTATGAAGCATTCCAAGCCCTGAGTTCTGGTTTACTCATTACAAAAACTCATGCAAAGAAATCAATGACCTGCCATCCATGAGTAAGGCGGCCCCGAACGCATGAAATAAGAGTTCCTTGACTCATGTATTGCGCGTAATTATCGTACTCACGAATCATGCATTCACTAAATCTGTAGAAAGCGAGTTCTGGAAATGAGTTATGAGTAAATGAAATCACAAATCGTGCGTAAAAAGCGTACTCAAAGCCGACCGGTTATCAAACTCGTTTTTGACGTGTTTCTTTACCGATGGATCATAGGCCGCCTCGCCGCCATTTTCGTTCCGGCCGGATCCGTGTGTGCAGGGGGAGTCGCTTGCTGCATATTGGTGAGTAAAATACCAGATATTTTGCTTTATTGGGTGTATTGTGCGTGGAAAATACCGGAAAATTAAACGACAGCTCTCTTTGCTAACCTACATGCAGGCCTAGGACATAAATATACAGTAAAGGGGCCAGGAAGTTCACATGCGCGGCCCCGCGTCGCATGCGCTGAATTCGAAAATGCATCAGGTTTTCACAGCCTTAAAGTTCAGGGTAAAAAAGAAAATGTTGTTTTTTTTTGCTGGTTTATCACTGCTAAAGACAAAAAAAAAAATACCAGTACCATCCAAAAGCTACCTGTGACATGCAGAGGAATACCAAAATGTAAATGCAAACAAATGGCAAAATATGTAAGTTCACAGGTGCCAAGCTATCATAAAAAATTGATTTAGGTCCAAGGTGGGTAGGTTGGAATGCTGTGCTTGGTGTCTGGAAAAAAATGATTTTGAAACTGCTTATGAGCTGTTCTCAGATAAAATTTCACCACAAATATTCCTTGTGCACATGACTCGCAGGCTGGCCAGTGTCCATGCCACACTGCAGTTTCCCATGACGTTAAGCTGTTAATAACTTTCGCCTCAGGGGGGGGGGGGGCATATACCAACCTGTCGCGTTTTTTTTTTGCGTGTGAATCATGGATGGAGAATGTTTGAAAAAGTTACCCCGGCCGGCAACCGAAAGTCAGAAAGACGATATGCCCAAATGCCTATTTGTCAGGGGCTATCAACAAACCCCTATCCTGATCCTGTGACATGTCTGCAGTTTTTATGTTTTTAGGGAAGACTGCTGCACGCAGGTGCGAAAAATTTTGTAATTTAAAAAAAATTAACAAACAATTTTTTTAACAAACAATAATCTTTTTAATTTGATCCGTGAAACGGTTTAGAATATATTGCCGAAAAACTGGAGGGGGCTCTGTAGAGCCTCCCCCCCCCAGTCATGCGCGGGTAAATGCCCGCTTTTCAAACAAACCAGTAGAACGTATTGCAGCAAAATTAAACATAGTTGCAAAATCAGATGACATTTTCTTCCAGCACCGGTGCATTAGTTTTCTCTCAGGAAACTCTGTTCAAAATAGACTGGCTGACCGTAACTGTGTATTGTTGTGGCGTACATTAACAACATCCATTGATTTGTTACTCAGGGTCCCAGCAACTCTGTCGATACGGGGGTCACGGCCGCCACCGCCGACCCCGGCGAGGGCACCAGCGCGAGCGGGCCGCCGGCGATGGACAATGGACATTGAGGAGAGCTGGCTCGTTATCGGTGAGTACCTATAGAGAGTGAATGTTCATTTGAATGACTGCGGCTTCGCTCCGCTCAGCCTCCGTCTGAATGTTGCCCTGCCCGTCGTCAAGGACGTTGTCCGGCCCTCTGCTAAATTTAATTTATTTAGCAGTATTTGTGGACTTTGTGAAGATTTGTGAGCGTTGCATGTTTGGAAATGAACTTGCCCTAGGGCTGGCAATTTAATTATATAACCTCGTATTTTATCGAAATACCTCGGGTCTAATGACCCTCGGAACTTCGGCAAAAACTTGGTGACATAATCAAATTGTCTCAGCCCCGGGTATGTATATTTTCTTTGTTGCTCTCAAAGTACCTGTTTTTTTTTTTCATCTGACGGCTCGGGATAAAACCGTTACATCACTCGAGAGTAAAATGTGCGCTAATCATCCCGAGGCAACTTGCCCGGGATATAACCATTAATAATATCGGAAATATTTGTTCTCGTTGCAGACGAGAAGTCGACCACCTGCTGCACTGCGCTGGCGAGCACGGAGCTGTGTTTCAGCCATCCCCAGTACCCATGCCCACACGTTCGAGCTGGCATGCTCTATACGTGGAGAATGAGGCGGTTGTCGAGTTCAAAGAGCTAACCTCGGCGGTCGACAATTGTGACCAGCTGCCGGGACAGAGACTGACCGGCAGAGTTTCTGTTGGTGCCTCATACTTTTCTCTGTTTGTTTCTGTTTTCTGTTCATCAAGTTTTTGTCATTATGTCTAGTTGCAATTGAATAAGCTTGTTGCAGTTCGTTTATATTTTGTTGCAGGGTGTCCCGGCGTCCCGCCCTTAACCGTAAAGAGACGTGAAACGTTGGACGCTAATGAATTTGAGATACAAGGCACTTTGGTGTAAAGCACAGGCAGAGCTTTGGAGTCGGATATGTATCAGTGAACCAAACCATTGAAACTGTGTTTGTGTACCTATTAAATGACAGTTGAAACTGCGTCTTTCACATAGCTGGTTGCACGACCTTTCTATAGAGTACGAAATAATATAATCGCACACAAGGCTGTGAAATAGAAAGCTGCTTCGTATTATAGGTCCGTCTGTTCCTTATGATGGGTTCCTATAGCTGGTCTGGTCTTGCAACCAGCTATGATCATTGAGCGTTACGCCCATAATAGGTTGTCCAGTACTTGTTCGTATATATGTGCATGAAATACAGATTTAACTTTGCTGTTCTCTTGACTTGCCATTCGTACAGTACAAAATGAGCGCAGGGTTATTATTTTGTCAATTTTATGTCGCCCATATGACAATATATCCACGCACTTGTCGTTTTACAGAACATTCGATATCTTGTTGATTGTTCCTATATAAAACGACCACGTTTCTGTGTTCGGTGTCATTGTTCGGTGTTAGTATTACGGGTAGCATATGGTCTTGTTGGATGTTCTTCCTCGTCTTGCATGCTATTTTGCACACGAAATAACACGCATGATGGGAATGAAAATCTGATAAGTTGCGTTATGCGTAATATTAACAGCGGATAATCTACTCATCTCTTGCCGGTCAACCTTACTTATGTCTGATGAGTAAGTTGACTGGTAAGAGGTAAGTAGATTGACCAGTCGCTGGCGCAGTCAAATAGGTGGTGTCCATAAAACCGCCCATCCATGAGTAAATTAACTCACAGAATGAGAGTAACGGAAATGAGTAACCAGCGATACATGAGTTTTGATAATGAGTAAGGTGAGTAGATTGACCGGTCGCTGGCGCAGTCAAATAGGTGGTGTCCATAAAACCGCCCATCCATGAGTAAGTTAACTCACAGAATGAGAGTAAC